TGCCCAAGATCCCAAGAGGAGAATGGAGGAGAAGGGATTGTGGCATAGCCATCCCCCCTGGGGGTGATTTCTCACTTTCTGTTTGTCTCTCTCTGTCTTTCTGGCGAGCACACACACCCTATAGCAAAAACAAACAAACAAACAAAAAACAAACAAACAAATAAAACCTCTCCAAAATAAAACAAATAAAAAAAAAAGATGAGACTCAAGAAAGGAAGAAAGTTGAGACTAACTCAGGGATGAGGTCAAGGTTGTGGCCCAGGTAACGGGCCAGGTAGGAGTTGTGGTCAAGATGAAGGTTATAACTAAGGTGAAGGTCAGAGTCAGGAGTGGGCTCAGACTCAAGATAATAAAACAGACTAAGGTGGGACCAGCAGATGGTGTAATGGTTATGTCCCATCACTCAATTCCCACGTGGTTGACTTGGGCAGGGGTAGTCATACTGGGCGCGTGTGTGTGTGTGTGTCCAAAATCCCAAGAAGGGATTGTGGCATGCCTATCCCCTTGGGGAGTGATTTCTCACTTTCTGTCTCCGTGTCTCTCTCTGTCTCTTTGGTGAGCACACACGCCCTATAGCAAAAATCCCTCTGGAAAAAAAAAATAAAATAGGGACCAGCAGTTAGCATAATGGCTATGTCACTGGACTCCCACGTAGTGGACTGTGGTTCAAGTCCCAGACCTGGTGGCTTAAAGTCACATCAGGCGTATGTGCGTGCGTGCCCAAGATCCCGAGAGGAGAATGGAGGAGAAGGGATTGCAGCGTGGCCATCCCCCCTGGGGGGTATTTTCTCGCTTTCTCTCTGTCTCTCTGGCAAGCGCACACACCTGTAGCAAAAACCTCTCAAAAAATAAATAAAATAATAATAATAAAATAGATTAAGGAAGAGGTCAAGGTTATCATCCACATAATGAATGATATCATAGGTTTGGAGTTGGAGTCAAGGTCAAGATCGTTAAGGTCAAGATTGGTGGTCATGGGGCCAGTAAGTGGCATGGTAGTTGGGGAGCTGGACTCACACATAGCTGACCATAGTTCAAGGCCTGGACCTGGCAGCTTCCTTTCTTACTCACCCTCTCTCTCACTCCTTGTCTCTTTCTGGTCAAATTGAATAATAAATAAAATAAATAATTCTTAAAAAAAAAAAAAAGATTGGGGGCCAGATCAAAGTGGAAGTCACCATAAAGTGTTGTTCAGGTCAATGTCAGGGATCAGGTCTGGGTGTAGGTCTGGACTGGAACCCCTAGAAGGATTGAGCTCAGAATAAAGAATCATATTAAGAGGGAGGCTATGGTCAGGTTCAATGTCAGCACACAGGTCAAAGGTGAGGGTCAGCCCTGTTGCCTAGTGGTTAAGGGAGCTGGTTCCCATATGGCCAAAAGCAGTTAGAGTCCCAACCCTGGTGGCTTGAAAAACATGCTGGGTGTATGTACATGCACGGCCCCAACAACAGGATGGAGAAATAGAGGGAAAGGGACCATGGCATGACTATGTCCTATTGGAAAGTACTGTCTCCTCTCTCTTCCTCTGTCTCTCTCTGGTGAGACATGCACCCTCTGGAAATTAAAAAAACATGATCAACAATCAGGTTACAGTTGCAGTCAAGTCAAGGCTGGTGCTCAGCTCAATAATATCCAGGTCAAAGCTGGGTCAAAGGTCGGGGTTAAGGTAATGACTAGGTTAAACTGGAGGTCAGATTAATAACAGCGGCCAGGTTAGGGGTAGACTGAGGTCAAGAATCAGACTACTGCTGAAGAACAAGTCGACAATCAAGAAGACAGAACAAAAACTGAGCCCAAACTAAATGTCGATCCAAAGGTGAACAGATAAATAAACTGGTAGGTTGATACAAGGAAAAGTGGCTCAGTACAGAAGGAATCGTTTACAGATCCCCACATCAAAACAGAGGCCAGACACAAAGGTATATACCATACGATCCCACTGATACAAAAATGTAGGATAGACAAGACTAATTTATGGTCGAAAAGATTAGAAACAGTGGTTGCCTGGTGTGAGAGAGGACTGATGGCAAGGAATGTGGAGGAACTTCATGGTACAGTTTCATATATATTTTTTAATGCCAAAAGGTGTATATCCGTGTATTGGGTTGTATGTTTCTCTGCAAAAATGGGTCATGACTTCTTTTTTCTTTTTTGTGGGGGAGAGGTTTTTGCTATAGGGTGCGTGCACTCACCAGAAAAACAGAGAAAGACAGAAAGACAGAAAGCGAGAAATCACTCCCCAGGGGAGATGGCCACTCCGCAATCCCTTCTCCATTCGCCTTTTGCAGTCTTGGGCTTGTACACACATGTGCGCCCGGCGTGAGTTTAAGCCACCAGGTCCGGGACTCGAACTGTGGTCAACTACATGGGAGTCCAGCGACATAGCCATTATGCTAACTGCTGGTCCTGGTCATGACTTTTCTGATGACCCAATATGAGAGACAGAGAGATCACTCCTCAGTGGGGCCTGATCATGCCCCAATCCTTTCTCCTCTAATTCTCTTTCCCATCAGAGTCCTGAACACACCTGCATTCACCCAGAATCTTTTTTAAATCTATAGAGCCAGGACTCAAACCCTAGTAAGCCACGTGGAATCCAGCACGCTGTCCACAGCACCTAAGGTGTGCTATGGCACTAGGCCAAATGTTTCATAACTTGATAAGGGTTTGTGTTATACACCTCTGTGATGCATCTAAACTCATCAAATAGTATGCTTAAGATCTGTGCATCTTGTTATAAGCAATTTTACCTCAAAAAGAAAAAACCAGAACCACAAACAAATGCTGCTCTCTAGTTAATGATAGGTGTGCTAACATATGTGAGGGTGAAATGTACTGCTGTCTGAAACTCACTTAGAAACATAAATATATTTAAGAAAAGATGGACTAAGATGAATACAGCATGAATAGAAGGACAGGCATGTGATGAAACACAAAATAAAATGGGAATTGTAGAAGCTAGCTGTTGTGTAGACAGGTGTTTGCTATAAAACTATTTCAATTTCTCTTTAGGTTTGAATTTTGTTGTTGTTGTTTTTGCCATAGGGCACGTGCACTCACCAGAAAGAGACAGAGAGAGGGAAAGTGAACAACCACCCCCCGGGGAATGGCCATGCCACAATCCCTCCTCCTGCATTCTCTTCTCAGAATTTTGGACACACACGCACATGTGCCAAGCATGTTTTTTTTTTTTTTCCTTTTTCTATAGGGCGTGTGTGCTTGCCAGACAGACAGAAAGACAGAGAGATAGAAAGCGAGAAATCACCCCCCGGGGGGGATGGCTGCGCCGCAATACCTTCTCCTCCATTCTCCTCTCGGGATCTTGGGCACGCACGCACACGTGCCCCATAGCCATTACGCTAACTGCTGGTCCCCCAAGCATGGTTTTCAAGTCACTGGATCCAGGACTTAAACCACACGGGCCATGTGGGAATCCAGTACCTCCACCACGCCACCTACTGGCCCCTATTTGAAATTTCTTGTTATATAATGTTGGAAAGTAAGAATGAGGCAGAAGTGGGGTTACTCGGGTTGTTCTTCCACACCCTGCATCCTACCCTTGCCACCACCCCAGGCTCCAGTCCTGTGGCCTCACCATGGCAGTTATCTCGTTAAATGACTGTAGGTTCTCCACGATGCGGGACTTGTGTGTGGGCTCCACCCGGGCGAAACAGCAGGCGGTGCGGCAGGCATGGCGCTGCTGCTCAGGACTGAGGTCGTCGAATTCGCGGCCTGTGTAGGCCTTGCCCGCCACGTCCTCCGTGTCTCCAAAGATGCCAAGCCGGCGACAGATGGCGACAGCCGTGCCTTTGTTGTCCCCTGTGATCATAACCACCCGGATGCCTGCCTGGCGGCAGCGAGTAATACAGGCAGCCACCTCGGGCCGCGGCGGGTCCAGCATGCCCACACAGCCCACGAAGGTCAGGTCCGTCTGTAGGGAGGGGGCAGAGGCAAGCAGGGCCTGAGCCATCCTTGCCCGCGACCTGCTCAGCAGCTGTGGGGAGACGCGTGGCTCCCACACCCACCTCGTACTGTGCAAATTTGCTGCAGTCGTCCAGCTGCATGTCCTCCTTCCTCGGCGGGGCATCCCTGGTGGCCAGCGCCAGGCAGCGCAGTGTGTCTGAGCCTGAGCCCCAGTCCCGGATCTTTGCCAGGATTTGCTCCCTGCAGGTGGAGTTCAGGGGTGCTGTGCGGCTCCCCACTCGGACGGAGCTGCAGCGCTCGATTACACTCTCAGGAGCCCCCTGCAGGGTTGTGGGAAGAGGAAGAGAGAGAGGTCAAGACCCTCCTCCTTCCTGCCCATACTGAGAAAACGGAAGCCCAGATGTGGGGAACGGTCACACCAGGGTGCATACGACAAGGCAGGGACCGGAATGTCTGACGTCTCAGAGGAGGAACCAGGTGAGCCCCACTTTAGGTTTAGTGAGAAAATCTCAAGGGCGAGGGGTGACCACTCACTGAAGAGGCCTGCGGCAGTATTTTGGGGGTGGGACTGGGAGTGGTATCCCCTGCAGGCCCGCACCCTGCCTGCCTGGCGCTTCTGGAATTCCACTTCCATAGGGCCTCAGTGGCAAGGAGGCAGGCCGAACCTTGCCTGGGCACCAGAGGTAGAGCCATGCAGAGGGCATGCAGGATGGCTCTGGGGAGGTGGTCTGGGGGTGACAGGCTCCTCGGCCGCCTCAGGGTCTCACCTCGGACCTCACCCTAGCCTATGAATAGCCTCCAAATGCTCCATCAACTGCCCCTCCTCTCCCAAAAGGTCACCTGGTGCTGTCAAGGTGGCCCAAGTTCCTTTTTCACTTCAAAGGGGGAGTTATGAAGTCAGGGTTGAGTCTCACTTCACGTTTGGAAAGCGGCGGGAGGTACCATGGAGATAGGTCTTATGGGAGCTGGCTCCTTTCCCTTCCCCACACTGGTTACAAAACCCAGAGCGCAAAGGGCAGGTACCGACCCCTCACTGTCAGCAATCAGAGGCAAAAGTGCCCTGAGAACTTTCAGCCCAACCCTGTGGTTCACTCGTGAAGACTGAGGCCTACCAAGGAGCAAAGATGACCCCAAGGTCACGTGGCAAGACTGTGACCCTCAGCCCACAGCTGGGACCTTAGCCAGGGGTAGGCCTTGGTCCCCTGGCCCTGCCTTACCTATGGCACACCTGGGTTCTGCTTGCAGCCTTCCCTGCCATGCTGACCACCCTCACTCGGACACTGAGCTCACACCTCCCTTGGGCTCCTGCAGCTGCAGTCTCTGCTATTTCAGAGAACTGGAAACTAGGTCCCCAGAGACCCCAGGTATGCAGGGGCCCCCAGCCAGACAGGCATCCCCCTACCTTCACAAACATCTTGCTGCCCTGGGTTGCAGGGTTAGAGCGGGTGGGCGTGCAGTACACTGACATAGACTTCCGGTCCCGGGAGAACTCGAGGGTGAACTCCTTCCGCATCAGCTGCTTGATGACCTGTCAGATGAGGCAGGTTAGGGCATGAGGTACAGAGCCAGAAACGCTTGCTTGCTTTCTCACCAGCTGCTTAACTCCAAGAAGAGTCCACTGCACTCTGGGATGGTATCCATAGTCCACTGACCTCGGTGTTCAAGGCCTCCACCATCTTTATTTCTAGCCTCAGGAGGAAGTTTCAGGTCCTTCCTCCTCCCAGAAGTCTTCCAAGTCTTCACTCTCCTCGCCTCCTTCTCTAGCTACCCCAGCAGCCCCAGCCACACAGCCCGGCCTCAGGCCCCCACGCTGCTCACGGCATTGCAGGCACCAGCTCGCTCCACTCGGGACAGAGCCTGCAGGTCAGTGTCGAACACGTTCATCTTCTCCACCAGGCAGGTCAGAGCCGTCTCTGTGGCCTCTCCCACCTTCTCATACACGCCCTTGGCCTGGAGAGACAAAGGGACAAGGGGGTGAGGGGCAAGCAGTCCCCAGCCAGGCTCCCGGCCTCATGGCCCACTCTCTTGGCCCCCTGGAGCTCCTGTAACCTCCTTGTCACAGGCTGGGAGCTCTGCCCAGCCCAGCTGAACTGGGGTTGGGTGGTGTCTGACGATGACATTCAACCATCCCTCACCCCTGGCATCATGGCCTCCCCCTCCCTGTCCAGTCCTTCTCAGCCTTCTTCACTGGAGTCCTCTTTCTGAGCCTAAGCCCTGATGTCTGGACCCTACTCCTTTCCTCCCGCCTTCTGTCCCTGAGGGCTCACTGGCCTCCTGCCTCTCCCTCTCCATGTGCTCATGACTACAGAGCCCAGTCTAGCTGGGAATCCCTCCTGAGTCCCAAGCCCACAGGTGCAATTGGTGCCTCTGGGCCTGCTTCCCTGGGGAGTCCTCAGGCCACCTACACCCCTCCCCAGGAACCAGCCTGACCTCCTCCTACCCAGTCACCAGTCCCAGGATTTTGGGGTCCGAATCTCTCTGACCCAGGCCTTCTCTCCCTCCCTGAGGCCCCAGCCAAGCTCAGTGGACTTTCTCTGACGACACAGGGCTCCCTGGTGCGAGTGTGACACATCCCCCACACAGAAGGCTGGGTGGTTGTAAATGCAAATCTGACCACATCTCTCAAAACCCTTCCGTGGCTCTCCACCGGCCTCTTCTGGCCTGGCAGAAGGCTTCCCCTTAGGCAGGAGCATCCTTGTGGGGGCTCCTTCGGCTGCTCCCGCCAGATGAACAGCGTTCACTGCCTCCAGCATGTCAGGCCGGTGCAGACTGAGGGCCTTTTCTGGGCTGTGCCTTCGGATCTGAACACACTCACTGGTCCTTCCCCAGGAACCCCTGGCTCTTCCACCCCTTGCATTGCAGTTCCCATGTCCCAAGCCCACGGGGCAAAGATCTGAAGCTAGTCCGAAGAAGAGAGAGAGAGCAGTGGGTGTGTGCAGGGGTGGCTGTGTCACTCTCAAGGGGCAAGGACCACCAACCCCGGAAGCTTAGGCTCTGAGTAAACGGTCTGTAGTGAGCACCCAGATACTAGTGAGGTCATGAAAGCGAGTGGGGGCCTACCTCGTTGTAGTCCAGCGCTGAGTCGTTGCACATGGCACAGATGGTGGCCAGCTCCACCAGCCCATCGAACTGCCCGCAGCGCACAAGCCGCTCCCCCTGCCGCCTGTGGGGTTCAGGTGGTCAGGGCACAGGCCAGGGCCCCACCTCTGGAAGCTGCCACGCCCCTGGCCACGCCCAGAAGTGCTCCGCCCCTGGACTTCTTACCCTGGCACCTTTACGCAGCCCCAAGTAGCCCTGCCCACCCATCACCTGTCGGACACTCACACTTCGCCCTCTGGAGTATATGTGGTTCCCGAGATGGTGAACTCGTGTAAACGGCAGGAGCCTGCATCGGCCTCGGCTACCACGAACATCTGAGGAGTGCAGGAGCATGTTCAGGCGGGCTGGGTCACCTCCCTCCTCCCTGAGCAGCCGGTTTGAATAAAGACCCCAGGGTGGGATCCTGCAGGGCCTCTCCTGCAAGTCACACCAGCCTGGCCTTCCCTGTGCACCAGGAGGGAAGCAAAAAACCACAGGGCCTAGGCTGAGGCGCAGATTCTGCTTTGTCCTGGTGTGTCCAGCCCCGGCTTGTCCACCTGCTCTGGGTTCCTAGAGAGCTTATGGAAGATTCTTCAGTGCTCTGGGGGCAGCTGCCAGCTGGGGAAGCCTGCGCCCCTGCCCGTCTCACCACGTGAGCCCTGGCCAAGCTCCTAAACCTCAGTTTCTCCACTGGTAACACAGGGAAAAAGTGGGAGCAGAGTCCAGCTGCCTCCTCTTTCCATTGGAAGGGATGGGTTCCTGGCCTTCACATCCCACCAGTCCAGGGTGTCCCTGCAGAGTGAGCCCCTGGCTGCAAGGCCTGCTGGACCACCCTGCCCCTGCTTGTGACCCCCAGACTGGGGGCACACCCCTCTCAAAGCAGCCCATTCCCCTGTCAGCCAGCTCTGCTAGCCAGGTACCCCTTGCCTCCTGGAAACTGCCTGGTGGCATTCTCAGGCAAATGGCCTGGCACCCCGTAGGTACTCAGTAAGTGTCCCACCCCACTCCTTGCTCCTGGACAGTCCTCCAGCAGGGACAGCCCATCTCCCAGCACGTCCAGTCTCCACTACTTCCCTATACTGAGGGCTTAGATCATTTTAAAAAGTGTCTTTCTTCCTTATTTTATGAGGAGGGATACACTTGATAGGGTTTCTCCTCATGCATGGCAGGGATGGTCTTCCCAACCCCTGCCACACTAAACCACCGCCCAGCCCTGACCTCCCAGCCAGCCAGGTGCACACCTGGTGTGTTCAGGGTGACTCAGGATCTGAATACAGGGCCTTCCCGCAGCTCATGCAATGGCACTCATGTCACACAGTGCCACCCATTGTCACAACAGCAGAGCCAAACCTTTACGTTAGGCAAGGAACGGGATTTTAGCAGTCAGGGTCTAAGGCACAGACGCTCGCGGGTGCCCTCCGCCCATGGCAGCCTCTGAAGGAGTGTCTATGGGGCCTTAAGGTCTCAGCATTCAGAGCCTGGGTTCCCCGGGCCCAGGGCTAAGGGTGGGAGAGAACAACGGGGAGCCAACAGCCTTCACCATCCTCCCACTCACCCTTTGCTAGGTCAGAAGGAGCCCTCTGCCCCACGGGCCTGCAGGGTCTCAGCCAGAATGCCTGGAGCATGTGGCCACAGGCCCAGGGAGTGGGATCGAGTACCAGGGAATGAATAATTCCTGCCCTGGCCCTTCCCAGGTCACTGGAGCTGGCATATCTGGTGACAGGTGTCAACCTCGGATCATGATGGAGCAGGACAGAACCAGGGTCCAGGCTCAGCTTGGCTCGGGCGTCAAGGCCTTGCCCTTCACCTGTCCTTTACGGTCACCTGGCAGAGCTCACACACCCAAGCTTCAGATGAGGAGCCCGTCCAGGGTCCCAAAGTGACACAAAGGTCCCAGGGATATGCGTCTAGTCAGGCATCATCTGCTCCAGCCTGCCAGTTGTCCACTTCCACCCATGAAAACCTGGAGCTGCCCCCACTCTCCAATGTGAGATAGCCATGGCCGCTTTTCTCTATCCCTTGCTAAAAGGAGGTCAAGGAGAGGCCCAGAGAGGGAGCCCAGCCTGCCCAGTGTCACACAGCAGTGGGCCCCAAGCCAGTGTGGCCACTCACCCGGCAGACAGACATCTGGTTGGTGGTGAGCGTGCCTGTCTTGTCAGAGCAGATGACCGAGGTGCAGCCCAGGGTCTCCACAGAGGGCAGGCTCCGCACGATGGCATTCTTGCGTGCCATGCGCCGCGTGCCCAGCGCCAGGCATGTAGTGATGACAGCCGGAAGGCCTTCGGGGATGGCAGCCACAGCCAGGGCCACGGCGATCTTGAAGTAGTAGACAGCTCCGCGGAGCCAGGAGCCGCCATGGGCCGGGTCGGCAAAGTGGCCGATGTTGATGATCCACACGGCCACGCAGATCACGGAGATGGCGTGGGACAGCTGCCGGCTAAACTCGTCCAGCTTGCGCTGCAGCGGCGTGCGCTCGGGCTCCACCGCCGCCATCTGGCTCCGGATCTTGCCCAGTTCCGTGTGCAGGCCCGTGGCCACTGCCACACCCACTGCCTTGCCTGATGCAATATTCGTGCCCTGGGTGGAGGGAGGGATGAGGAAGGGCACTCAGAACCCAGCCGAGGCCCAGGGCTCATGGCTCCTGCAGCTGGAGTAGGGTTCCCATCTTTCTCCTCCATGTCCCTAGCGCTCCCAGACTTGCATGGTTATGTATTTCTTGGCTCTCTGCTGTCTTCCCACGGCAGTGTCTGCTCTACAAAGGCCGAGATGTCACCATATCCCCTGTGTCTTACAGAGCCCGAGACAGAGGAGGCACCAGAGCTGATACGGACAATATGATCAACCAGCCCAGCCTGGGCAGCAAAACATCCAATGTGATTTCTTTTTTTGGATGCATGTGCTTGCCAGAAAGACAGAGAGAGACAGAGAGACAGAAAGCGAGAAATAACCCCCTACGGGGGATGGCCACACCACAATCCCTTCTCCTCCATTCTCCTCTCGGGATCTTGGGCACACTCACACACGTGCCCAGCATGAGTTTAAGCCACCGGGTTCAGGACTCGAACCACTGGACTACATGGGAGTCCAGTGACATAGTCATTATGCAAACTGCTGGTCCCTCCAATGTGATTTCTAAAACAACCACTACGGTCACACAGACACGGAGCACAGCTGGCTCTGATCCCAGGTCAACAGTCCAGATGTTTACTGAAGAATCTGGAAAACCTGAATCTAAGCGCATCCATTCCCAAGGCCCTAGGAAAACCCCCACGGCCTGGTGTAAGGAATAGCCAACCTTATGCCTCTGTGTCCTCTTCCATAAAATGGTGCAACGCAGGCCTAAGACACAGTTGCTCCGAGGAAACCAGCACATGGTACCCTTTGAACGGATGTGCTGCTGAGACAGATAGCAGCCTCAGCCTCTTTGTCCTGAGCGAGGCAGCTCTGGCCCCAGGTCTGCAGGCCCCCCAACTGAGGAAATTATCTCGGTGAGCCCGACCATTCTCCTTGGACAGCTTTAGTGACAGCTACTGACACTCGAGCTCACACCCTCAGGCCTCCCTCCATGCTCCAGAGCAGCTTGTCCCAGGCTTTTAAGCAACGAGGCAGGGCCCTCCCCTCCAGAGAGTTCTGGGCAAGTATCACTCTCCAGGGAGGTTTTCTAGCCCCTTATAAGTGGGTGCACTGGGTCACTATGCAACTGATCTGACCCTTCTTTGCAGCCCCAGATACTCCCTACTGGCTTCAGATGGTTGGACAACTTTGAGTATCACTTGCTAACTCTTTCTGAAGCACACAGGGACAGGTCCCTCCCACCAAAGCTGGACCCATTGCTGCAAAGGGCCAAAAGGGTATCATGTCTTGGGAGTCAGTGTTCCCATCTGAGAAATGGACTGTTCCCACCGTTCTCTACTACTTTTTCATGATTAGAGGGTACACACACACATGCGTGTGCGAGAGTGAGAGAGAAGGGAACACCCTGGAAAAGGTCTCATAACACTGTGATCCCCTGTCCCTAGCCCTCCAGCTGCTCAAGATCCTGGGTGACGTGTGCACACCTGGCCTATTTTCGGGCGACCTAGGGATCTGAATCATGGTCAGTCCTATGGTTTCCAGTCTTGCAGGAGACCTGCATTACTGCTGCACCATGGCAGCCAGGCTCTGTTCTGTGTTTACAACCCTCTTTTCCTCTAGAAGATCTTCAGTTGAGTGACTATAGGCAAGCTCTGCCTCTCTCTGTGTTAAGGCAGGGTATGCTAGCAGGTAAAAAGACAATCCTGGGGCCAGGATACCTGAGTTCACATTCCAGCTCTGCCACCCACTCGCTGTATGACCTTGGGCAATCTATTTGACCTCTCTGTGCCTGTTTCTGTGCTGGAAAAACACATATAACAAGAGTACTGATTTCAAAGGTCTGTCGTGAGGATCAAACAAAACAATATATGTAAGGGGTTGATTTCAGTGCCAGGCACACAGCCCTCAGTAAACACAGTAATTACCATGATTATAAACTTGTTTGTATTGTCAATAGTTGATGAGGTTCTTTCCTCTAAGAATTTAACTGATTAATTTTTAAAAAGAATTATCTAATTATTTAATTAATTTTACCAGATAGAGACAGAGAGAGAGAGAGAGAGGGAAAGTGAGAAAGCAAGCCATCAGGTCTGGGACTCGGCCATGTGGAAGTCTAGCATCCTTAACCACCATGCCACCTGCTGGCCCAATTTCAACGTTATTTCTATTGTCATTGTCCAGGCAAAGGTCTCAAGCACTCAGGAACTTACAGAAAACAGCATGTTCTTCTTGTCCTGGTTCACAGCTCTGGGGTCTGGGATGGGGTCTGTATGCTTGGTCACAGACACAGATTCACCTGGTCGTGGAGGGATCAGATATGAGAAGACCCCTCCAAGACATCCTCTCCAACCCTGTCCCCATCTCCATCCCTGCTTGGTCGGACCTCCAGCCTCACCTGTCAGGATGGACTGGTCCACTCTCAGCGTGGTGGACTTGATCTCCACGAGACGGAGGTCGGCGGGCACTTTGTCTCCCACTGTGCAGGGGGAACAGCTTGGCTGAGGGTGGCTTTGAGCATCACACCCTGGGAAAGCCAGGAGTGCTCCCCAGACCCGAAGCTGGGGCTGAGAGGTAGGTGCCCGGGTTGCGATCCTTCAGACCCCTGCTTTTCTGGCCCAGTCTCCTCATCTGTCCAACAGGGTTCAGGCCACGAGTGCTGGCATGATCCAACAGGCACCCCGTGCATATCCAGCTGGCCAGATGCAGGCACAGGGAGGGACGGAACTCTCGTGTCACATAATGGAATGAGGAGGCCCTACCTGCCACTTCCACAATGTCTCCAGGGACGATGTCCCGGGCCCGGATCCTCTGCACACCCTTGCGGTCCGAGCGGATCACCTTGCCCATCTCAGGCTCATACTCCTTCAAGGCCTCGATGGCGCTCTCGGCATTGCGTTCCTGCGGAATGACAGGCAGGCTGGCGGTCTGTCCTGCTGCCCCCAGTGGACCACCCACTCAGAGGGACACCCTTGGAGCCTGGGGTAGAGCTGGAAGTGGAAGGAGCTCCAGGCAGAGGTCGCCGCAGGGCCTCCCACCTGCCACACACCCACGACTGCATTGGCCACGAGGATCAGCATGATGACCAGCGGCTCCACGAAGGCGGTCGTGGTCTCCTCGCCCTCCTCGAACCAGGCCAGGACCTGCGGATGGGAGCTGTGACCCCAGGCCAGGCCCTGCGCTGGGCTGCTCTCCTTTCCCTCTGCAGCTGGATCTTCTGTCCACTGCTTTGGGAGAGCCTCGGGCTTGGAGAGGGCTCGTCCGCTGAGAGGGCCAACGTGTCACTCCTGCTGCCCCCACCCCGCCCCGGCCAACCTTCAAGGGCATGGGAGAAGGTGCAGTTCCAGCCGGAGACCACACCATCTGCCTGGGACAGTGCCCCTTAGGGTGGGGTCTCCAGACCAGCAGCGGCAGCAGCAGCAGTAGCAGCACCTGGGGACCTGGAGATACAGCTCTCTGCCCTTGAGGCAGAACACTGGGGTGGGGCCACGAATCTGCTTTAACAAGCCCAGGTGATTCTGCTGAGCACTGACAACCAGCTAGAGGAGCCGTAAAGCTGGGCCTGAGTGGGGGAGGTGGAGGGGAACCAGTTCAAGTCCCATTCCTATCCCTTGGCCCAGATGGGTACCTGTCACTGCCTCCATGGGCCTTGGCGTGTCCACCTGCAGTGACAGGGTATGAGCGCAGGGTGAGCTCAGCCACTTTAGGATGGATAGCTTTTGTTTGTTTGTCGGGAAGAGTCCCTGCTTGCACATGGACAGGCCAGGAGGGCCAGGCACAGCTGGCTGGGCCTTCTATTTCAAGATGAGGCCACCGAGTTGAGGTCTCCACCCCAGGCCCTGCTGGGGTGGACCTGGGAGCAAGAATCACACCTACCCCAGCTTCCAGCCCTGCAGGACCCTTGGGTCTCCACTGCTCAGCTGTTAGCAACAATCACTGCCTCCCCACCTTTCCCCCTGACCCACAGCCCATAGGTCCAGAGAGGCCTGGGTAACAGAAATGGGGGGGCAACAGCAGCCACGAGGCGGCAAGGTGTGAAAGCCCCGAATGTCTGAGTGGCTGGGAGCACGGCGAAGGGGCTAAGGCAGTGGCCTCACGACACCGGGCAACGCCTGAAGACGGTTTAGATCATCACAACTAGGAGGCACTACTGGCCCTGGGGATAGAAGCAGCCCGCTCTACCCGTCCTGTGAGGCACCCCGACAGAGAATGAGCCAGTCAGAAACGCCGTGGTGCTCAGGCTGAGAAACCCCAGCGGAAACAGGGAGGGCTCCGTCGCCAGCCAGCGTGTGGGTCAGCGTGGAGGGGGCCAGGTGGGAGCAAGGAGTCCAGTGGAGGGGGTCAGGTGGGAGCAAGGAGTCCAGCTTCAGGGCTGCGAGGATCAGACCTGGAAAGCTGAAGTCTGAGCAGGGTAGGGATGGGGAGGGCCAGAGAAGACCAGGGAGCGGCCCAGGGATGCCCATAGCCTGGCCCTCTGCGTACTGCCCAGACCCGGCTCTCCCTCTGGCCCACCCCACACCAGGCAGGCAGGCCCCACTTACGAAGGAGACCAGGGCGGCCAGCAGCAGGATGCGCACCAGGAGGTCGTCAAACTGCTCCAGCACCAGCTCCCACAGGGACTTCCCTGGGAACGGAGCAGTGCGTGAGGCCCAGGCCGCCTACAGGCCTGCCCCACTCAGAGCTGAGCCCCCTCCCAAGGCCCTGAGAGGCCAGGTGGGTGATGCAGGGGGCTCAGCAGGGCCTCGGTTTCTGGGGAGGGGGAAGCCACAACCCGACAGTGATCGGCCAAAGCCTTTGTCCCATAGCCCAGCAGGTCGCCCGACCAGAGCCTCACCTTCCTCGGACGGGAGCTCTGTAGGATCCAGGCAGCCACGGGAGCCATGAGGAGACAAGAGACGACTGGGTTATGCAGGGGGCCTTGGGGAATCTGTCAGCCCCTTCCCTGGGGACCACTCAGACACCCTGACGGACCGATGCAGCCACAGCTCTCTGAGGTCACCGGGCAGACAGCACAGGCCTTAATGCCTCAGCCTCTCCACCTCCTCTGGCTGAAGGTTTGGTGTGGCCTGGCTCACCTTGTGGTAAGACCCGAGCGAAGAGGGTCTTTCCAGTCCTTCCCTCATGTCATGGAGGAGAAAGGTGAGGAGGAAGAGAAGGGACCCCCCAGGACCACAGAGTTGGTAGTGCTCATGGATCCCAGCACTGGTGTTCCCCAGGGGGCCACCTGATCCTGATCAATACCTCCCACCCATGACGAGGCGTCTCCCCTCCTTAAATTGAGAACACTGGCTCAGGTTCCCTTTGCTTTTCCTGCCTCAGACAGACCAGCTCCTGCAGGACCCCCTGGCAAGATCTGCAGCTGAGCAGTCCTCAGCCATACCCCGAGGGGGCCTCCCCGAACATCCACAAGGATGAGGAACATCCGTGAGGAACCACCGATGGTTCAGTGCCCCAGCCCCACCCCCATACCCATTCCCAGTCCCACAGTTTTAGTGTTTTAAGAACATTGTTACAGGACCAGCAGGTGAAATACGGTTATGTCGCTGGACTCTTATGTAGTCGACCGCAGCTCAAGTCCTGGACCCAGTCGCTTAAACCTCATGCCCGGGGTGTGTGTGTGTGTGCCCAAGATTCCAAGAGGAGAATGGAGAACAAGGGACTGTGGCATAGCCATCCCCCCTGAAGGGGAGGGATGGTTTTTCACTTTCTGTCTCTCTTCGGGCAAGCACACACACCCTATAGCAAAAATCTCTCAAAAAGAAAAAAATTGTTTCCAAACACCGATGGCACTGGCCTCTCGTTATGGGCCTGATTTTTCATCTCACATTTCCTACCAGGAATCCTTGGGTACCGAAAGTCTTTGAATCATCCCAGCAGGTTACAGGGAGTTCCCTCCCTGCTTCCCAGATGGGAGGACTGAGGCCCAGAGAGAAGGCTGTCGGCAGGCCTGGGGCTCTGGAGGGGCGGGGGAGGGGGCTGAGCCCTGGACGGGGACTCGGTCTCCCTCTTCCCAGGCCCTGACTGAAGCCTATCTGAGGCCTTCCCAGGCCACAGTCTGAGCCCTGCCTCCTCTTGTCCCCGGCCACTCGCAGGACAGCTCAGGACCAGCAGTAGGCATCACTCAGGAGCTCATTGGTGATGCAGAACCTGAGGCCCCACCAGGCCGGGGTCCTCCTACTTGTCCTCCTTCCTGACACAAGACAGGGCCTTGCATCTGTCACCTGGTTTTGGCTCTCATACGCAAAGGCACTTTTCCCATGGTGGGGGGAGCCTTCTTCCCAGACCACCTGTTCGGGAGTTTGGGGTCTGCACCTGGCAGCTGAAGCGTGGAGTGTCATGCAGCCCACTGGACTGCCGGAACCCAGGAGGGAAACATATAACCTAAAAATACACTTTCTAGCATTTTCTCCAAAGTCCTATTTTAGGCAACGGCTGACATTTTCCGTGGAAAATGTAATCTCCAGTGTCCTGCGTCGAGATTAAAATCAAACAGACTTTTTCCTTCTGATCTATTTAGCTGAAGCGAACAGGAAAGGCGGGGGAGGCCCAGGCCTGGTTTCTGGGCCAGTTCTCCAATGAAGTAGGGTCCCTGAGAGGTCGTCTTGGCCATGCCCCAGCCTTCACGCAGGACAGTGCCAACCTGATTCTGCTGTGCTCCCATACCCTCACCCTTCCAGGGATCTAACTCAGGAGAGGGCTTATCTGTGTCTCCCTAACCCTTCTCTTTGTCAGGCATGTGGTCCTTGGGCCACTATATAGAGATAGAGATATAGAGATAGAGATATAGAGATAGAGATATAACATTTTTTAAAAAGGTTTTTGCGTTAGAGTACATGCACTCACAGGAGAGAGTGAGACAGTGAGAGAGAAAGTGAGAAATCGCTTCCCAGGGGATGGCCATGCCACAATCCATCCATCTCCATTCTCCACCCAGGATCTTAGGCATGCATGCACACGTGTCTGGCATGATTTTCAGGCCACTGGATCTAGGAATCGAACCGCGGTCAGCCATGTTGAGAGTCAGTGACGGAACTGCGACACCATCTGCTGGCCCAAGCCACCACATTCCTTACAGCATTCCGGGGCACGTGTACCTGCTCTGGTTCTCCCCACCCCCAAGATGCTATCTGCCTCCCTGGGCTGGTCTCTGCCTGTCCACCTGGATCTCCTCTCCTGCTTGCTGACCCAGAACCCACTCTTCAGTGGTCACTATGCTGTTCACCAAATGTTTCTGGATCTCCCTACCTTGTGGGCACATAGTAGGACTGCACTTCCCAGCCGCCCTATGGGAGACCCGAGGAGGTCGCTGTCTAATAGAACGTTCTGTGATGCCGGAAGTGTGCACTATCCGTACTGTCCAGAACAGTGGACGCTTGCCCCACACCGCCCTGGAGCACCTGGAGCACCTGGAATGTGGCTGGTGTGACCAAGAAGCCAACTTTTCAATTTAACTGAATTTTCATTCTATTTCAATTTAAGTGACCACACGAGGCTAGTGGCTGCCGTAGCTGTTCAGGTCTGGAGCTCTTTGACCCTCGGCTACCGCAACCAGCAATCAGGGCAGTGCTATCTGTTCTGCCAGCCCGAGCCACTAGGTGAGGAAGACGTAGGAGCCAGCCCTCGCTAGATGGCCAAACTGCCATGGGCAGACAGCAGGATAAACTAGCCTCTCTTGTTGTTTCTGCAATGACCTAGCCAGTCCTGACTGAGACATCCTCAGCCTAGACCCTGCTTCTACCACCAGGCTCCCGGCTGCCCCACACACCCACTGGGGAGGCTCAGTCAGCCTGAATCGCTGTAGATGCCCCACCCACGGTACAGGCCTCATTCTCATCCTGCCTAAGCAGCTGAGTCCTGGGAGCCTAGGAGGCTCATCTGGAAGATGGGGTACCTCCACTCATCCGGAAAAGCTGTTGTAATAATGATCTTTATCATTAACATCAGTATTATGATGTCCCCTGGTAGGCTTTTTAAAGTTTATTTCTTCCATGAATGAGAGACACAAAGAGAGACAAAGGGAGATAGCACCCCCAGCAGGGTCTGGATGCCATGATTGACCCCCAGCCTCAGCCGGCCCCGGATCATGGGAATGCACAACCCAGTGCATTCAGGGAGGTCTCCAGATGCGAACGCGGCACCTTTCCAAGTGGATCTGCTTCACGGAGTGTCGTGTTCTACTGCGGCGTCACACCTAGCCCCTCTTAAGAGCTGCATTTACTGAGCACCTGGTAGACACCCAATGTACCAGGCGCCTTACCCACATCATTTCCAGAGACTCGAGGGAAGACATGGGGTGCCCAGCAAGGGAGGTGCCCGGCAGACTAACAGCAGCGAGGGGCGACTGTGCCAGGAGCCACGCCGACTCCTTGTACGTGTTGTTTTCAGGATTCTCAGACAGCCTGAGGAGGGGACCGTTACTGTTCCCATTTCCTATCTGCCTACTCCCTGGCTCTGGCCCTGACTCCAAAACTGTCCTGTCTTCCCTCCTCTGGCCCATTTACCACCACCCCAAGGCCACCTGAAAACACTTGGTGTCCCACGCCCTGATCATCAAACTGGATGTCCTCATCCATCCATCAGCTTGCCCCTCTTCAGCGGCCCGAGGCACCAGCCAAAATCACCCCTATCCTCACAGGTTGGCTTTTGGGGGTTACTAGGCCCTGTCTGCTCGGGCCTGGTCTGCTTCAAATGTCAGTTCTGTGAAGACCCAGTAGGATCCGTTCTCCTCTCACATGAAGAGCTCCAGGGTCGCAGGGAGAACCCAGAGCGGGAGGCATGCCTGGGAGATGCAGTTCCCCTCTCTACCCCTCCCCACCCCCGACACCTAGCTACCTCCAGGCTGCCTGTGGGGAGGCTTAGCCAGTCCCCCGTGAGGTGGTGACACTGCGTGTTCAGCAATGCCAGGTGCCCCATGTGTTGAGTGGAGAGCATGCCCGGGCCCTGCCTGCCTACGGCACTGTCCACTGGGTGCACGGGGCAGGCAGGAACAGGGGCTGCTCCCTCTAAGATCCCTGGCTGGGCAGGCCCCAAGCAGCACCCAGCCCTCCACCCTTTCTCTCTCCCAGCCCAGCCTTGCTCTGGTCACTGTGGCCAGACCAAGTGGGTCCATGGCCCCAGAGCTCCATGTAGGGCTGGCCTGAAGGAGCCTGGAGTAAGCCTGTGGGTCCTGGGAAGAAAGAGGGAATGTAATCAGAGAAGCTTGGCAGCTTCTAGCAAGGAATCTGGTCGAGAGGGCTTGAGTTCTAATCCTACTCTAATCCCCATTCTCAGTTTCCCTATCAGCAAAAGGGGAACAACAGTAATCACCTCATAAGCTTGCTGTGAAGTTTTTTTTGTTTTTTTTTTTTGAGAGTTTTTCAGCTATAGGGCATGTGTGCTTGCCAGAAAGACAGAGAGAGACAGAGAGACAGAAAGCAAGAAATCAACCCCTGGGGGGATGGCCACGCTGCAATCCCTTCTCCTCCATTCTTCTCTTGTTCTCTTGGGATCTTGAACACGCAGGCACATGCACCCAGCATGAGTTTAAGCCACCAGGTCCAGGATTTGAACCACGGTCAACTATATGGTAGTCCAGCGACATAGCCATTACACCAACTGCTGGTCCCTGTGAAGATTTTTTTTTTTTTTAAATAAGGATTCTTTTTCTTTTTTTTTTTTCATTTTTGCTATACGGCTTGCTGGAGACAGAGACAGAGAGGGAAAGTGAGAGATCACTCCCCAGGGGGCATGGCCACACCACAATCCCGTCTCCTCCATCTCCTCTCAGGATTTTGGGTACTTACGCACATGCACATGATTTTCAAGCTGCCAGGTCTAGGACTTGAACCACACAGTTGGCCATGTGGAATTCAC